CAAAGAAACAAGACATACACAATTACAATAGTAATGAGAAAAGTCATGGCATTTCAATAGAAAAGGGACAGTTGCATCTTAGCCACTGAAAATACCGACCAAGGCCAGTGCTTAGTAATTTCTGGTATTATCTAATAATTAATTCAATCAGTTTCCCGAGTATTTATCTAGTATTAAATGATAAAAAGTTAGAATGTCTTGAGCTGTCCAATTTCTTCAGGATATCGCTAAGTATAACCTTTTGACAAAGATTGAAATTTATAAATTATTTCTTATTTTCTTATGATAAAAAAAATTTATAATAAAGAGTTGAAAGAGCTATACATATGAATTGATAAATATAGAAAAAATAATGACAATTTACCTAAGAGTTTGGGTGGGTTAATTTGTGTGGCTATCACACACCCTGTAATTCCAACTACATGTATACTGGGCATCGTATCAATAGGCTCACGAAATACACTTACAGATAGATGAGCATTTCGAAACTGGTTAAAGTTCAATTAAGGTACGAAGTCTTCTATCAAGTTTATACAAATGGTATTTTGACTCTAAAGCAAGATTCAATATAAAATCTAAAAATTCTGCTTTAATACAGGTGCAAATATATTTTTGGTTATCAAATGCTGTACAGATTTAACGCATACCTTCAATGAAATTTAAAAAAATTAATGAAGGTATTGCATTTAAAAGTTTCATGAAAATTAGGTTGAATTATTCATAAAGAACTAAGGATTTATTGTAAATGGAGGATAGCCTTCTTCATTTATTACGAATTCTTGCATTCTAAGTAAGCAGGTTTCGCAACCACAGGTGGGTCTTGTAGGATAGATGTATTTGTTCTGTCTAATCTGTAACTCACCCACATCTATGGCAGCATGGCATAAAAGTAGTGTCGAAATTGTATCCGGCACTACCCAGGTTCGATTCCTGTTGGGAGTTTTGGTGAGGCCCAGGACAAGTCAAAACTAAATTTCGAGAATATTTTATATTCACAATGAATAAAATCCTCTATCATAAGTAAATCTTGAATAAGTTTTGTAGTCAACATAAATCACATAAGGTAATATAGAGCTAACAGTTGAATTTTCTCACAAAAATGCGAAAAGACTTCACAATGCTAACTAATTTCACTTAGTCTTGCCTCACAAAGGCCATTTGTATCCACTGTATACGGCAGTTTCGACCTGCTTGGTTGAGGCAATGTAGAATAAAATTCAATTCCATTATAAGGCATGCTCATATAATTGGGAAAAATTCTCATCCCTCCATCAACTTTCGTGACCTATAGTGACTAGAAATTTTATTCGATATTATTTTATCAGTGACAAGATTAGCCTTTTTATAGTTATATTACGATATATTACAATGCCTAGATATAAAATAGATTTAAATAAAAGTCAATGTTTTTTATTCTGGGTAATGACAGTTTTAAATTGCGACTTATTGGCTTCCTTTGAACTAATTTACTTGAGTAATTTGGTCAAACTGAGTTAGAGCAATAATTTAAGGTGAAAGAACGCGGTGAATTAGCTTAGTACACTATTAGGCTAAATGGCTAAGACAATTTTATCTAATCACTAAAGTGAAGTAAAGAGCTAAGAATTTTGCTCATCATTCCTTTTCAAATCTCGCTTTCTCCCAAGTTAATTATTTGGAAGGTCTTTTTATACACACATCAAAATTTATATCAAATCTGGATTTGACTATAACCTTATTTACACATACTTCGCAAATAAAGAAATCATTTTGATAGTATACTTTGTTAATATTTTCTTATTTTATTTATTTATTTGTACTATTAAACAACAAAATAAATAGTAATTCCCGAGTACACAATTAGACTACCACAATTATTATTTAAATCCAACGTATTTCAAGGTTTGTATGTCCAGCATCATTTAACCTCAATGTGCTAAAAGAAAGCGTCGTAATTGACTTCTTGCATTTGCAAAACAATCGAATATGATTTAATTTTCTAACTATGAGCACATTATTTTAATCAATCTTTCTAATAAATATGGCTATAACATTCATTGGTATTGGTATAGTTATCAGCATACCTTGTCCTTCCAAGGAGTTAAGGTTAAACTTTAGGAGCAATATTTATAAAACTAGTTTAATATGAATTAAATGGGCTAAAGTGATGCATTCTTTACTTACTGAACAAACCTCAACTAGCGATGGTGCTCAACTCACTGTTCACGAACAACTTTGGCTCTCGCTTCCTCAGTGGCTTCGGGCCGGGTATAGTAGGCGGCACTGGAGGTGTGGCAGGTGGTATCGTTAACCTTATGAGCGGCTTGGGAAGCAGTTCTATAGGAGGTGGTTGCTGCGGTTTTAGCAACAACGGCCATGGGAGTGGCTCAGGAGGTGGGCTAGCCGGACTCACTGGTGGTTTACTTAGTGCTGGACTGGCTACAACATTTGCAGCTGCTGCTTTGGCTGCCACTCCTCCTAGCAAGCTTTCCAACAGTCCGCTAGTGAGTGCAACAAATGAATCACTATTCCATTCCACCATCATTGGACCGGCTACCAACATTGTGGGTCCCAGCAGCCACCATGGCGCCAATCAGAGTACTTCTGGCTTGCGAAGAGCAAGCCTTGCCGTTCCAGGAGCAAGTTTGCCCAAAACATTGCTGTCGAGCAGACAAGACAGCACACCCAGTCTTCCGGTGGGAGGGGAATTGCAACAGCGGAGGCGGCGTGATTCAGCAAACAAATTCCAAGCCGACCCAATTCGTCAGGCAGGTTCAATAGCGGCAATAAATAAAGGAGTTATGTTAACAGAAATAGCGTCGCCTCGGTCAGGTCAGCGACGAATGTCCTGTTCTCCTACGCTGGGTGGTCAACAGCAACACCAACAACAGATATTTCTTATGCAGCTACAATCTAGATCACCTACAGTCCATTCGGCCAACCTCTTGGGAGGAAGAACTGCATTATCGACCCTAGTAGATGTGGAAAAAGGTGAACCAAATGTGACAGATCTTGAAGAGGAGCAAGCTTCAAACTTCCAATCAACGGAGGAACAAATAAAACTTAAGCAACGGTACAAAGATAATATATTTTAGATGCCTTAAAAGGAATAGTTTTTAGATTGCGGATTTTAAAGCAAGCCCCCACAATATAATGTAGCCCATTTTCTTCTTGTTTAGGAGCTTTTCACATAAGTGAAGGAATTATCCTACTTATCGGCAATATTCGAAGATAGAAAACTTAATTATATATATAAAGGCGCTACTAATGCTATAACAAAATACTGTAGCTTTTAAATGTTTTACTTTTACCTTAGTTTAAAGCAAATATGCGAAACTGTACATTTAATGTATAGAAACATTAAGCGATAATTACTTGTTTGGAAAGTAATTAGATATTTAAACGATTGATTATCATTCTAGATAATAAGTGTTCTTTGAGTTAACAAGTAAATCATAAAATTTGGCAACGTAGCATATTCAGGATATTTATCACATTTTTAAAACGAGTCACAGTGATATTCTGTTTTGCTTATAAATAGGAATTTCGAG